GCACTGCCACTGGCTGGAACACCCAACCGAGCAGGCAAGTGGGGCAGGAGCTGCAAAGCAGCCTGGTGCCTCCGTCACCCTCTGAGCAGAGTGCAGGATGAGGAAAGTTTGCTGCCTGCAGCTGACCATCATCCCTGACCCTCGCTGCTCGCTCTCCCGCCTGCCTCCACAGGGCAGATCACAGGCAGGGGTGCCCATCGGCACTGTCGTGGCGCCGGTAGCTGCCTGCCCACGCACCCCCAGAGCTCGGGCACGTGCCTGGGATTCTGCTGTGCAACTGGCAGAGGCAGCTTCCAGCGCCTGGGCTTGTTTTCCTCAGGATTTCTATGCCTTAAAGAGCCTCCTGTGGTGCAAAGAGTGAAATCTGGTCTTCTCCTGACATTTCACCCCCAGACAGCGGAAGGCTGGATGTCACCAGCTTAGCTCTGCAAAGGGGCTCCCCCAAGTGCCAGAAGCAAATGAAACTCAAACATCCATATCCAGCCAGCGGAGGTAGTTGGGCATCTGCACAGCCTGGCTGTGGTGTCCTGCTAATTAGTGCCTAGCAATAATCTTACATACAGATATGTCACACCTTCCCCCAGAAAAGGATTTGTGTGGCCTCAAAGGCATTTATTTGGGTAAGGTACACACTGCCAGCCAAGGAGAAACATAAACGCTCCAACTAGAAAACTCCACCTCGCAATTACGAGCTAGGGCAACGCTAATGATAGCACAGCCCTTTTATGAACTACAATAATGGATTTTCACAATCTGTTTGCAATCGCTCTCTGTCCTGGGTGTGGAAACTCAGGCAAGGTTCAAGGCCAAAGAGAAAGTTGGTGGCAGAGCTGGGGTTTAACCTTAGGACCCTCTCCAGGCAAAATGACCTATATTTAACTCTCGACCCCAAAGCTGAGCTGAAAGGAGGAGGAAGGAGAGCAGGAGCCAGATGTTCAAAAGGCAGCAGGTAGAGAGTGGCTCTGCCCAGAGCAACGTACGCCAGGAACGAACGCTGATGGAAATGGTGAGTTATAGCTTACAGGACGGAGGAGCCCGAATTCTCCTCTTGCAGCGGATCCAGCCCAGTGGCAGGCAGCACCGCAGGAATGGGACCAGGGCCATCGCACTGCTGGGGAAGGGGGGGTTCTCCCCCCCTGCCCCAACAGCCGCACTATCGCAGGGCCTGCTAGGGGAGGACTCCCTGGAGGAAAACGGCTTTAACATCTTATTTCCTCCAGCTCCGAGGTTGCCTTAATAGGAAATTATTCCCCAGCCGTGCCGGGGAGGGATGCAGTCCCCCGCCAGGGCAGTGGGCGCATTCCAGCCCCTGATGGAAACCACTGCAGAGCCGCTTTTGATCCAAAGTGTAAATAGTGTATAATAAAAAGAGGCTTGTGTAAACCAGCCGAGCTCTTGGGGAGCAGCTTTTGCAGCTCCAGCCTCCTTATTTACGGGCACATAGCACCATGGCCACGCGCTTTTCACAGGCACGGCGCAGCCGGTGTCAGGCTGAGCCTGCCCTGCCAGGCGGATCTGGTGGGCCCCACGCCGCCCCAGCCTGTTATTTTTATCCTAGCTGGCCCTGCACGGCGTTTCACTTGCAATTCGGCTGGTCTCTCTCCGCTGGTCTCTGAGGCAACTGGGGTTTGCTAAAGAAAAACCCAATCACACTCCCCGCAAAACTTTGGAGCAGAAACGGCCACCAGGAGAGTACAGCCGGTGCTTCTCAGAGAGGAGGGATGGGGTTTGGGAACAGGTGCCCTCCCTGCCACCACCGTTTCCCATCTCTGCTTGGTAATGAAGGAACTTTGATAATTAAACAGCACTAAAAAGGGGCAAGGACAGCCCTGGAGTCCCAGCCACTGCCCAGCAGCTAAGCAAGGCCTGCGTGGGGGGAGGTTTTGATGGAGAGGCAAGGCGAAGCCTCGAGGTCTTTCATAACCATGTTTCCCCAAGGAAGAGGAGCAAAGGCTCCAACCCTGCCTCTCTCTGGTCTCTGCCAGGCCGGCTCTAAAAAAAAACTGTGGGAGGAGGAGCGTGCTGCCGGCACAGCTCGGACACAGGCAGGGACGTGAGCAGGAGAAGGAGATTTTCCCCTGCCCTTCCCAGGCAGACCCTGGAGCCCCTCTTTTATCTCCTCCCTCCTCCATCCCAGGAGGGATGATGAAGCAATTAGCACTTTTTTTCCCGCTAATTTCTAACGCAGCTAATTCTGAGCAGAGCCCACATGTCTGGTCCCAGCATACTGGGCGGCATAGGGGCGACACGGTGCCCACGTGTCTGCTGGCACAAGGGACACGGGTGCAATGAGTCTGCCACAAGCTGGCAGCAGCCCCTCGCACGCCCCTGCACACGCACCCCCAGGCACGCTGCCATGAGCTCGCCGCTGGCTGCTGCAGCCCCTTCCCACCCCCGGGGCCTGGCCAGGACAAACTGAGAGGACAAAAGGGGAAAAATCCAGCTGAGCCCTCCCGGTTCCTTCTTTCCCCGCATCCAAAAACATCACAGGCTGCAGGAATGGCTTGAAGTTGCACCAGGGCAGGTTTAGGCTAGACATTAGGAAAAACTTCTTCACAGAAAGGGTTGTCAGACTCTGGAGTGGGCTGCCCAGGGAGGTGGTCGAGTCCCCATCCCTGGAGGTATTTAAAAGGACAGATGAGGTGCTTAGGGGCATGGTTTAGTGGTGGGATGTCAGGGTTAGGTTAAAGGTTGGACTCGATGATCTTAAAGGTCTTTTCCAACCAAAGCGATTCTATGATTCTATGTGGCTCTGTGCCGCGGGACTGGGCTCAGCCATCCCCCGTGGGCTCAGCCACCAACTCCCTCATGGCAGAAGCCAACTCAACTCAAAGCCTGGCAGAGGGAAGCTGGGTCCTGGGGGGCAGATGGGGCTCCCCAAGGCAGCTCCCTCCTCAGTTTGGTATCCACCATAGGTCCTCCCTCCTGGTTTGCAGCATCCCAGCAATGCTGTGCTCTTCCCAGAGAGTCCATTACACCGAGCTGCTAAAATTAAGCGACAAACCTAATGCATCCCATGAACTCCCCACAGAGCCACACTGGGGTCCCCAGGGCCGAGCCGCACTCTGCTGCAGACCTGATTCGTTTGGGACACGTCCCGCTGGTTGCTCATGAGCCTGTTGGCTTTACCATAGCCAAACCCCACTATTTCTCATCCTACCCCACCAGGTGCTCCCCATCCCACCGGCTCCTGCTCCCCATCCTGCTGAGCTCTGGGGCTGATGCCAGGCCCTGCCGTCCCAGCAGCTCCCTCCTGGGCCAGGGCTGCAGGGGGACAGGAGAGGGTGCAACAGGGAGGACAAGTCCCTAACACCCCCGGGCTGCCACAAGGGCCCTTGGCCCCACTCCACCAGCATTTAGTACAAAAAGTAAACAGAAATTGCAGGGAGCCACGTTTGACCCCACTGCCGGTGCATGGCTAGGAGGCACGCAGCATGGCTCCAGAGGGACACATGGGATGAGGACCACCACCACCATGGGGACCTGCATGTTGGAGCCCCGAGCGCTTACCTGGATGCTGCGATCTCCGACTTCTGCCGGGCGATGGCCGCAGCCCTCTGAGCCCCCTCCACACTCCTGTCCACCTTCTGCCGGATCTTGGCACTCTTGAGGGGTATCACGCGCTTCTTCATGCCCTTGACGAGGACGTTGTGGCGGTACTTGCCCTCCTCCTTCTTGCCATCGGGCAGCGTGGTGCAGCCGTAGCCATGCCGCAGGTTGTCCAGCCACTCGCCCTCGTACTTCAGCCCGCTGGAGCGCTCGCTGACACCGAAGCCGGCACGCTTGTCGCTCTTCCACTCACCCATGTAGGTCTCCGTGGTGGTGGCATCAATGTCGGACTCGAAGGGGGGGTACTCCTCGCCCTCGGCACCCTCGCCCAGGCTGACGGTGGAGGTGGCATCGCTGGCGGCTGAGCTGATCCCACTCTCGCTCTTGAGGAAGCTGACACGGCTCTTCTGGCTCGCCAGGGATGACTTGGACTCGGACTTCTTCAGCTTCCCCAGCAAGGAGCCCCTGCGGAAGAGCCCTCCCTTCTTGGGCTTCCCGGCCTCCGCCTCTGCGTAGAGGCTGAGGGCAAAGCCCCCACGGGGGATGGGGGAAAAGGGGGGGGCGGACCACAGGGGCCATGCCGTAGGGCACGCTCTGCCGCACCCCATAGCCGTGCCGCATGCCGTTGGTGAACTGGCCCTGGTACGTGCCTGCGGGAGAGAAGAGGGACGGGGTGAGAAGACAGCTCGCTCAGGCAGCTCGCTCCGGGGTGAGCCGGCAAAGGCAGGCAGGCAGGAGGGCAGCGCTGCCCTGGACTGGACATATCCACCTTCCCTCGAAGAGAGGAGCCCCACCTCCGCTACTGCAGGAGCCCCAGCTGCGGGCGCAAAAGCAGCCGTCCCCAGGGAGCAGAGGGCACAAGCCCAAGAGCCACTGCTGGCAAGTTACAGCTCACTGGAAAGGGACTGGTGCAAGCCCAAAGCCACTTAACGGATGGGGTCTGGATTTGCATCCGGAGCAGGGAGTGGGAGGCAGCCCCGTGGGGCTGGAGTTCAGGCTGTGCCGAGAAGGTGGCAGCAGCCCCAGCAGACACATAAGCTGTGGTGGCACAGCTCTCCTTGGCTCAGCTCTCCTTGGCTCGGTGACAGTCCCTTTCAGCCCATTCTGCAGTTTGTCACTCACAGGCTGCCAGGACCGGCTCTAGACCCCTGGGTCGGGCACCTGGCCATAGCACGGGCTGCCCCGTACCTGCAGCGGCATCTCTTTGGCCCTGACATACAGCTTCTCTGTGGTCCAAGATCAAGGCTTGTGCCATGCTGCATGAAGCAAGAGATGGGCAAAAAAAGGGAGGAGTGGAACCCCTCTGTGCAGGGTTCCTCTGGCTCTGCCCCAAAACCCACTTTGCCCTACCACACTCCTCCAGACCCAGCTCAAAGGGCACACGGTGTCATGACGGGGGACACAGAGAGGATCATGCTCACCACGGCCAGGGCTGCACCCCGGGTACAGGACCCTGCTAAGAGCCAGCAGGACCTTGGCAGCAACACCTCGAAGGACATTGCTCCTCTCCAGGCCTCTTCCAGGTCTGCATCTTTGCAGGCTCCACAAGAGTGAACTGGAGACCACAGCTCTAATTTTTCTCACCAGGGTGTCGAGAGACTTAAATTAGTGGCATGAAAGCCCCCTCCAAGAAGAGCTCCTAGGAAGGGCGGGAGGCCTGGTGGGGCAGCCTTCGTCTACAGCACCCATGCTCACACGCCAGCACGGCAGGCTGCGAGGGTCAGCACATTCCCACCCAGTCCTCTGGGATGGGGCGGGATGGGATGGGACAGGATGGGACGAGGCATCTCCCCAGCCCAGCTCTCCTCACTCTGTAGATAGAGTTGCCTCAGAAAGCAGCAAGCCACCCAAACCAAAAGCAGCATTCAGCTTCGCTCCCAGCGTTACAGGACCTGGAAGAGGCCACCTCATCCCAAACCAGCACCCTGCAGGGCAGAGGCTGCTGGCAGCCCCCTTCCCAGGGTGCAGGCAGGGGGTACTGGGGGAGCACAAATGCCCTTGGAAAGGCCACCCCACTCCTTTGCTCTCCCAGGTGCTGCTTCATGCAAGCGAAAGGCCAGCCGTGCTGGTGGCATTTTCACAGGCATCTGTCCTAAACCTGCTTTTCATTAAGCAGTGACCTGCCAGGAGGCACCAAATTTTGGGAGAGCAAGCACTCCTAGGGCCCCAGGGAAGCTCAGCAGGGCTGAGCTGAGACAGAAGGGGGTGACCTATCTTCAAGGCATTCATCTCCCCCCTCAGACGCCGTTACTGAGACCAGGGATGACCCTGCTCCCCAGGGAGCAAATCCAGTTCCTTCTTTGGCCATTTGTGGGAGTGCATATTTTACAGTCTCCAAGGCCACTTCTGCAGCATAATCTCTCCTCCCAAGCTTCAGGTTTCGTTGAAATCCTCTTTGGACCTGCCTGTGGGGTGTTAACTTACAGCGCCGGGGGCCAGGAAAGACAAGAAGTGCCCGAGCGGGCAGCAGCTGCTGCCCCGGGGTGCGCCGTCCCCCACCAGCCCTGCCCACCCCGCGGCACACAGGGCTTCGGGCTCCCTGCAACAGTTGGCTCCCCTACTAAAAAAAGGAAGGGGGTTCAGGTAGTGCAGAGCATCTACGAGCGGTGGCCAGGCATGGGAAGCAGGCCAACAGAGCAAGGGGCTGTTGCCCAGTTTCTTGGCAGAGCTTGAAGCTCCGTTAGGAAAAATAAGGGGGGCAGCGTGGGTGAGGGGTTTGGGCATGAACTGGGAGCCAAGGACCATTGCTGGAGATGCCCAGGCAGCTGCGTGAGCTCCTCGCTCTGCCATGCTCCCAAATCCCTCTCCACAAAATGGTAATGAGTCTTTCTAGCACAAAATGAAGCTAGAGACCCCCATAGTGCCCCCACATCCCTCCCCACCAGGAGCCGGTGAAGTCGGAGCACCATCCCCGCCTGTCCAGCCAGCGAGCGGGGCTGACACACGATCATGGTGACATTGGAGACCTCCTCCTAGAACAGGACGGCCTTGCACACAGCAGGCTGCAGCTGAGAGCACTGCCGCGTTAACCCCGTGGAAGAGGAACCCTGGGAAAGGGTCACAGGTTTAGGGGGGCTCAGCTCTCCTTGGGAGCCAGGTTGGAGTGGCTGCTGCCCTCCAGCAAGTCCCTGACCCCCTCCATCCCCTGCGCGGGGATGCCACACAGCACAGCAGGTCTTCAGGGCTGCTGCTTCTCAGGGGCATGAGTCCCTACCCTCCACACAAGGTTCAATGCCAGCACTTCAGACTGGCCTTGGCTGCTTAATTTCAGCCCCTGTGGAATGAGCAACATTGTCCCTCTGGCACATGGTGTGACCAAACCTGCCAAGCGCATCTGGCTTAACAGGAGAGCGCCGACAGACTGTGCTGCCCGTGGGTGCCCAACCAGCATGGGGGCGAGCAGGCACTGCCATGTCCCTGTCATGGCGATTCAGTGCCCGGCTGAGGCTTCGTGGCAGGGCAGAGCCATAAACCACCCTCGGAGCGGAGCCAGAGGCTGCTGAGAGCAGCTGGAGGTGGCAGCAGCTGTGTATCGGGGCACGCAAGGTGGGAGCAGAGCCAAGCCTTGGCACACCAACACGTACCAGGGCAGGCAGTTCATGACAGAAAAGGGGCTGTGCAAGCCCCCTCTGCACTGCGGGCAGCCGCTCAGGAGGGCTGCACGTCCCTGAGCCACCGCCACCCCCTGAATATCAAAGCAGCCTGGGCAAGGGGGACAGGTAGGACGCAAAGCTGCCAGCCAGGCAGCCATGTGCTCACACACATCTGAGGTTCTGGAAAACATAATAAAAAAACAGCAGTGGATATGAAAAAAACCCTCTATTTAGGATGAAAATTGGTCAGATTCCCACTTCCCTGCCTCCCCAGCCCTGCCTGATTCACCAGGGCAGTGGGACAGAGCCACCTAACCCCATTGGGGTGTGATTACTGGGGGACAGGACCCCAATAATCCTTTATTGCCTGCATTTTTTCTTGTTGGAATGATAAAAAACGCTGGTTCCTCTGCAGGCCCCCAGGTACATGGTCTATCACCTCTGCTCATCCCCAAGCGAAGCAGGGAGGTGCCCTGTCTGGGTGTCTTCAAAGGTTGGGAAGGATTACATTGGGGGATTGATGAGAACAGTGTCTCCACAGCCTTGTCCTCTGCAGACGCCAGCTCCCCGCAGGCAGGGTGGCAGCCCCCTCTGTTCAGCCCTGACAGCAGCAGGATGGGGCAATGCCCGACTGCATCAAAGGCGAAAGCTTCAGCGCCCAGTGCGCACCCAGCCCGGCGGCGCAAGCCCGCTGCCAGCAGCGCCACGTCTCCCCTCCCCAGCCTGCCTCTAAGCTCCAGTATAATTAGCGATGAATGCAAATAATACAAACAAGCAGGTAAATAATGCAAACAACTCAAACTGTGTCAGTGCCCTATGATCCTCTGCTGCTACCCGGATACCGTGATGACAGACGTGCTACAAGAACGCGGTGTAAAAGGCCAGGGACATTAAATCAACGCACAGCACCACATGCAAGGCAGGTCAGCAAAAACCTGGTGCTTCTTTTTGGTGCCAGCAGTATTATCTGATAGTTTCTGTTGGAAAAGGAAGGCAGAAAAATACCCCAGAGAGGGGGAAAAAAATTCACAGCATTAATTCATGGGTCACATTCAGCCACACAGGAGCTTTGCTACAGCAGCTAGCAGACACAAACCAGCACCCTCTCTGCTCCCCCCCAGCCCC